CTCAGCTTCTGCTACTGCTGATTCACCAAAGAAAGGTATTACGCTTGTAGTCAACTTTGTTTTTATTGAACATACTGCTCTAAATAAGGTCTTGAATTTTAGCATTTTAATCATATTAAAACAAATTTCCCAAAGTATTTATATACTTCATTAGTACTATTGAGCATTCATGATTTTAATGTAAAACTAATTCTTCAATTAAAGTCAGCAAGGAAATCTAATACTGGAATGCGATGTGTGATTTGCAGGGATCTTTTTGAGATTTTGAAGTCTATTAGGGACATTTTGTTGATTTTCAGTGAAATGTCTGATATATAGTTTGCTTTACCTCATTGGTGAAATATTTTATTTTGCAGAGCTACTGTGAATAATTACTAAATTTCAGGTATATAAGGTCTCTGTTATGTTAGCTCTACCGGCCAACCCATATGAAGATCACTATTTAGCTATTCTCTATCTGTATCTGTATCTATGTTGTATGTATATGTATTTTTCAATGCAGATGTTTGCTCCCTTCCGACTTGCAATTCGTCTCTCTTCCTCTTCTACAGAAACTTTGCAGCAATTTTACGGGTCCATATGTATCTGTATTTCATTTAATTTGTGTATTTCATTTGATTGATTTTATTTCCAATTAAATTTCACTTTTTTCAGTACTGATTTTGACGTTCCTTCCTATATTTTGCCTTATTGTTTATTTGTACCAAATGTTCCATTCTAGCCTCTGAGTTCCCAAACTTTTACATGATATCAAGGAGAGAATCCAAACATTTTTGCTCTAGCTTCTGAAGATTTTCTTTTCACATTGCAGAGCAATGAGAACGGAAGGGCAACAACTCAAGTGCATCTCAAAACGTGGAAGAAAACCAAAGCCTTCTTGATGGTAAGCGATAGAACTTGCTTCAGAATTATCCGGTTATGAAAATTCACATTTGGGCTCTAAGTATCATGACTTATTTGTCCTTTTGTTCATTTTCTTTGAAGTAGATATTTCATTTTTGTCGTCGTGTTGTAAAAGAGACCCTGTCCCCAAAAAAAAAAATATCATCAAAAAAT